ATTCGTTCCTTGCGGCCCCCGCAAAAACCGAGTCAACGATCTGTTCACGATTTCTGAGAATTGTCGAAGCGTTATAGATCGCACAGTGTGTAAATAGACCATTTCCACGTTTATGTGCAAAAAATGATGGCAAGTTCGGACAAAAGAAAATTTTTCATTCGAACCCGAACATATTGAGCATAATACACACTAAACACCTCGAAAGGATTAGCTTTGATCTGTTCGTGCGTCGGTGATGGTGATGGTGATAGTGATGGTAGAGACGAGGAATTTAGAAGCACTTGCGGTGGACAATGGATGGGCCGGACTCGTCGTATTCTTGCTTGGAGATCCACATCTGTTGGAAGGTGGATAGGGAAGCCAGGATAGATCCTCCGATCCAGACAGAGTATTTGCGCTCTGGGGGAGCAATAATCTTGATTTTCATTGTGCTGCAAATAGATAGTATAGTATAGTATGGCAGCATAATCAAAAATCAATGAATTTACCTGGGGGCGAGTGCGGTCATTTCCTTCTGCATACGATCAGCGATACCAGGGTACATGGTGCTACCTCCAGAGAGGACAGTGTTAGCGTACAAGTCCTTACGGATATCAATGTCGCACTTCATGATTGAGTTGTACGAGTTCTCATGGATACCAGCAGATTCCATACCCAAGAAGGAAGGCTAAAAAGAACTTTGAGTGCGGAGAACAGCGAGGGCAACTGGGTACACTCATGACGGCCACAAACCTGGAACATAGCCTCGGGGCAACGGAATCGCTCGTTTCCTACAGTGATAACTTGACCGTCGGGAAGTTCATAGGATTTCTCAAGGGAAGATGAGGAAGCAGCGGTAGCCATCTCTTGTTCAAAGTCAAGGGCAACATAGCATAGTTTCTCCTAAAAATAATTTCTGATTCCCCATCGCATTTGTACTTATATCCAGAAGTTGGGGTATTCAAAAATCACCTTAATATCTCGGACAATTTCACGCTCAGCCGTGGTCGTGAATGAGTAACCACGCTCAGTGAGGATCTTCATCAAGT